ACGATCATGTTTTTAAATGTCAAATTCCACTCACTCTCTCTCTCTCTCTCCATATATTTTTTTTTTTTTTTTTTTTTTTTTTTTGAAGTGCTAGGGATGAATCCAAGGCAAGCACTGTGCCACTGAGCTATACCACCCCCTCACACACACTGTCTACTTTCAGATGCAGTTCTGTGTTAGTGAAAAATCATCAAAGAACATACGTCCAGTTGACAATGCATGCACCAGACACAAAGGCATCCTCTGTATATAATTTGCCCGCATCAACGTAGTTCTTTTTGTAACTCACTTTTCTTCCTTACCCCTCTGTAACTATATTTCCACCTGCAAATGACCTCACAGTACCCTCCCAAGTCTTTTATGTCCTGCTTATCAGTGACCAGCACAGGTTCTCTCCCAGAGGGATCCACATAGGAAGATCCATCATGAAAGCAGCAATGAAAGTAAGAACAACATGAACCAAGAGTCTTCTGGGGGTGCTGCAGGAAAGCATCTCTGGAGACCAACTCAGTAAATAAATAAATCCCATACTGAGAATTTTCTAGCTCACCCTCAACATTTCTGCTGGTGCCCTGGCAGTCTATAATTCTCAATGATTTATACCCTTATGGTTTCAAATTAACTTCAGAAATTATATCACCTAAAATGTCAAGATTTGGGTGTAGGAGAGAATGTTGCATCTCACGCTTCCTGCAGGTCAAAGATAGGAGTAATCCCTGTCCTAACCATAAGTTCACTTCTACCCGGAAAAGCAAATTCATTATCAGCACTGAGATTGCTAGGAACACTCCCTTTTGGGCTATTCAGCTATCCCTCTTGGCCCCTTGGCATCCTCCTTATTTTCCAGGACCTATTCTGTTTTCCCTGCTGCCACAGCATAAGTGCTACTAAGAGCAGAGATCATCAGCTGCAGCCTTGTGCTCAAGCTGACGCCTGCCCTGGATTCCTGCAGCCCCCAGCTCCCACGTGCATTTGAGCCTGTGGCCTCTCAGGTTATTGGGCAGCATTATTGGTCCAGATAAAGTGTACTTATTCAAACATCCCAAGAAAGCCTTCATTTGCATCATTGATTCCCCATTTTCTGACATCAGTTATTTGGAAATATTTACTATTACCTGCTACTGCTGAGCTCTCTACTTTATATTGTTTATAATGGTGTGTGATGTAACTACTGCTCACTGTGCCTTGAGGAAAGGACCCAATTTCTCCCAATTAAAAGGGTGGGAGGGACTCAATCTATTTGAGAAAAATGAAATCTCCATTTAGTTTTGTCAATGTTATGCAGGTATTATCACTATTTGGAGATTATGGCAGGAATGATGGTGCTCTGTGGAAAAATAATGCTGGGAGGTGCTGGCTTAGGCTCTTGCCCAGCACGGAAGCCAGCTGACTAGACCTCACATGTCTCCCAAGCGAGCATACCACAGCCCCACCCAGAAGACCAAATACAAGTCTGAGCTCCAGAGCAAGTGGCTTCATTGCCTTGCTCTTCTACCAGCCTGGCCTCACATGGACAGGGACCCCCACATGCCCAGTGTTTGTCAGCAGCATAGACTGTGGGGCTTTTTGTTTTCCCCTAAATGACGTGAGCCAAGTGGCTGTCTTTCTTGTATGTACCAGCACCATGGGCATGCAGCACAGTTGTGTCTGAGACACAGGCAGGAGCTTCTTGTGGTTATGTGTTCCTCCTCTGTCAGCTGTTTAATTTCCTGTGAGAAGCAGAAGAAACTATGAAATTTGCTCTGGAGCTCAGTCTAAACAGTAGCTTCAGGATGTGTTCATTATGTAACTTAAGGGGTGCTGGGGAGATAGCTCAGCGTCACAAGTGCCTGCCTGGCAAGCTTGAGGTCCTGAATTCAATCCCTGGTACCAAAAAACATTTTTTTAAATAAAGTAATTTAAGGCAGTCTCATTCCCAGACAAAGCAACTGCTAGTTACTGTCCATAGCTGACAAATGGAGTTGAGCACCGTGCTAGGCCTGAGGGTCTCAGCAGTGAGTGGCCTTAGAGCTCGTAGGTAATATGGTGGCCAACCTAGGGCACACAAACTCTAAAAAGCTTGTCATCACTCTCCTAGGAGATGTCCAGGTCTGACTTAAAAAGCACTGCAAAGCTAGCAGCTGCCACACTGCCCACTTCTTGCAACTCTCAATCTGTGTGTGGTTTGTTCCGCTGTTGCACTGTGCAGCTAACTGCAGCTGCAGCTGACCAGTACCCTCAGGCTCCTTCCATCCGAGCCTCAGGCAGATCCAAAGATCCTCCTTCCAAAAAGATGCCTGCTTCCAATCACCATTTCTTCCAGGATTAGGTATTATGCTATGCCTGTTGCAAAAGGAATTTGCTGTTAAAACTATACAAAGTAAGATGTTTCCTGGCTCCACAACCAAAAACCCATTAAATCCCTGATGACCACATTTCACACAAACATCTCTGTAACTAGCCTCTCAGAGGGTCAGGAAGGATCTGTGCTTTAACTCGGAAGCCCCCAGACTTGCTGCCAGGGCACTCTGTGGGATAGAATTCTTGGGAACCTCAGCTCCAATTTCAGTGCTCTGTAAAATGCTTTCATCCAAATCCTGATTCAGCCTGACCCTATTTGGCTTGTTAGCAGAGAGGATCAAAGTTCAGAGTGTCTTGGCTATAGAATGGTAATGGGTTTATTTCCTTAAATTTTCTGTAAAATGAAATGGAAAGAAACTGATTCCATCTGTAAGATATTCATCTTCGGGCATGGTCTCCACTCCAAGTCCCTGGTGTTTGCAAATAGCTCCTCAGTACCTACTCATAGCATTGTGCCTGGGCAATTGCATTGCAAAGATGAGATTATTTTGCAAATCCGCTTCTCAGGCAATAAAAGATGTTTTAATAGCCTCCTGCTGCACATTTTGAAAGATTTTTAATAGGAACATAGAAATATATTTAATCTCTCTTAATTCTTAAAGACGGAAAGACTCACATGTTGGTACTTTTTTTCTGCTCCCTTTTTTAAGAGAAAGGTGATGCCGAGCCAGAGAGTCCAGACAATGCCACGTCGAATACATCGTAAGTCTCTTTCGTGCTTCTATCAGAAATGACTGTTCTTTAATATGCTTGTAAAATGAAGCAGTGCGAGCGGCTTGTAATAGTAGTGATCATAAAGGAAAGAAGCGAGGTTCTCTTTTCTCATGATAATGTCTGTTAAAGTGCTTTTGGGTACAGATGCGTTTTGAGGTCTTCTGCTTATGCATAGTAAGAGGAATCTTGAAAATGCAAATGTTTCTCTGTATGAAATGGAAATAGAATGAGATGTGAGGGTGTGGAGTGAGGAGAAGGGAGGTGAGCCCTGCCGAATCAGGCACCTTCAGCACCTTTGTAAGACGGTACAACTTTTCACACATGCTGGGGACATTATGTTCCACACACCTGTGATGCATCCAAGTCATTTTAAAAGTCTGCCATCTGCCATCTCACTTCTGAGTTATGGGGAGAGAAATACAGTTCTGTATCCATATTGCTAGAATCTCAAGAGGTTGTGTCTTTAACAAGCAGTTTTAGGCTAAGAAAACACCCTCACAAAGCATGTGTTCCATGCCGCTTTAATGTCCCTCCTTAGCATTCAAGGCTTCCTAAAGCATTTCAGTGATTAAATTGATGCCAAAATAATATACCAAGATTTCAAGAAAATGGTTAACAAGCTACCAAATTATTTTGTTCTGGTTCCACAAGAATCAGTAACAGGTTTATTCCTGAAAAAAATCTTTGTATTTATTACTTTAAAGAGTGAATTTTTTTTTTTATTGTTGTAGGACAGCCTTTGTGAATTGTACATATTTGGGGTTTAGTGCTTGTGTTACCAATCGTATAGTGTGCTGGGTGCTGGAAATCACCGTATGTGGTGCAGTAGCGTGTGTCTTACTGGGCTTGAGACCTGGTTCTTAGTAGGAAGCTGCTTTGGCTTTACCACATAGCTGATATATTTTGTAATATGTGAGATTATGTGTTTATCTTTCTTAAGATGCTACCCTACAAGTTCTAAATAGTTCCAGTGTGTGGTTTCTGATGATGCAATGAATGTGACTGATCTTCAGTGGTTAAAATAGTATTTTTGTGTGAGTGTGCTGAAAAAAAGTAACGCAAAAAGGGTTTTAATGCCATCTGGAGGCATTCTAGAGAACTGAAAAGAGTAGAATCCCTGGAAAAATTAGTGATTTTGAGTAACATTTAGACTTGGTAAGGATTTATGCAGCTAGAATGTAAGCTATTAGAGAATGTTTTATAATTTAGAAATGTGTTTAGTAGGTATGTTAATTATTGTAGATACAACAATTTTTTAAAATTCTATAAACAGCAAAATTATTTTGGAGACAAAGCCATTAGGGAACCACTAGCATAGTTTAATTTCCCATATTTTAAAATCTCTTTCAGCAGACACTAATTTTGTGATTCAGTTTGTTTTGATGTACCATTAACATTCTCCTTCCCTTCTATATTTGTAAAGAGTCCCTTCCCTAAAAGCATTGTTTTCTATGACTCAGTACCTTATTTCTTCTAAGATGTCTAAAAACAATAAGTTGTCTGAGGAATTATTTTTAAATGCTCTGAAGTTATAGAAACTGGAGAAGCCTGAAACATTGCCTCCCATCCCTTCTTTTCTTAGCAAAAATAGTTCCCCACTCACCTGCCTCTTGAGCTAGAAAAAGAAAAACAGAAATAAAGTCTGAAGTGAAGAGGATCTCTCCTAAAAGTGGAGGATTCTGAACTTGGCATCCCTCGAAGTCCCTTTGCTGTGGTTGTACTGTAATTGGAAGCAGAAGTGGCATGTGATGAACACAGTGAGATGCAGTATGCTTTCAAAATGGCAGCATGACACTGAAGTGCTGTGCCTCTTCTGAGCTTATTGGGCAGAGGCAGAATTTGTATTACACAGAAGGAATCTGAGGATCAGGAGGGTTGTTAAACTTAAGCAATAAATTAGGATATAAATCTTTTTTTTTTTTCTTTGCCAATTTCCCCTGCTTAGGGATCTGTGAACTGGACAAAGCCAAACCATAAGTCAGAATCAAGCAAAAATACTGAGATCAGGTATTACTCATTAGGCCACAAGTGTACTAGTTTGCGTGGGCAGGTATGACACAGTACCATAAGCCAGGTGTCTTACCCAACTAAAATGCATTTCTCAGTTCTGGAGGCTGCAAGTTCCCTATCAAGGTGTCAGCAGGATTGATACCTTCTGAAGCCTACAAGGGAAAGAGGGATGTGTTCCAGGCCTCTCCTTGGCCGGTACATGGTTGTCTCCTCCCTGTGTGTCTTCATGCCATCTTCCTCCATACGCATGTGTCTCTGTGTCCCATTTTATAGGAGCCTCTGCTATATTGGATTAGGGCCCAGCCTATAGATTACCCACTTGCTTACTTCTGTGATGACCTCTTCTATGATTAAGGTCACGTTCGGAGGTTTTGGAGGTTAGGATTCAAGCATGTGAAAGAGAAAGTGGGTAATTTATCCCATAAAATTAAGGATCAGAGCAATCAGAAAGACTCAGGAACCAGGTAAACTAGCAGGAATGTGCAAAATCCAGAAGACAGAACAAGGAGAGAGATCCTGCATAAAACAGAGGACACACTCTGCGCTCCCTGGCCACTAAAAGGGCAAATCATAGTAAAGGAACTGGGGTCCGAAACCAAGACTGTAGAATAGATGCTTCTTGAACCCTTGGATATGTGCTCAGTCCGTGGGTGGGACTCTATCTCAGTGGTGCCTGCCAATCCTTCTGTCTGTATCAGTCTGTGACTCTGACAGTCATGTAAATCTGTTAGATGGGATAAAATTATAGTGCAAAGTAAGGAGTCTTTAGCCATAAAAAACTCATTTCCTATGAAAGCATCTTTCCTCCCTAGCCTCCCTAGGCATTCATTGCAAGTGGTTTTAGACACTCATTGCAGCGCACAGTGTGGATAACACCTGAGGGTCGCCCAGGATTAAGTGAACCTGTGAGTATTCAGGAAGATGACGGGAACAATTTCATCCTTCATTATCATCGTCACACAAGAGAGAGCAATAGATAGGAAAGCACCTAATTCCATACATAAATTCCCATCAATTTGAATAACCCCTAGTCCTGTGTGTGTGAGAAGGTACCAAAGAGCTCAGTGGAAAACAATAGCTAGGATGCTGACAGAGCTGATCAAAGATTTCAGTTGATACCTACAGCTTATAGCCACTGCCTATAGATTCTGGAATTTGAATCTTAGCCACGTTAATGGTGTTAGGTGAACAAGTTTTCTAGCTCCAGAATGTCTCTACCTTCAAAGGAAAAAAGTCACCCTAAAACTAATAGCAAATCCAAAATAAATCCTCTCCCTAACAGAGTATAACAGCAAACATCCAAGAGTGAAAGTTAATTATCTAAAGACTTAATTGCCTAATACAACAAAATTGTCAACACTTTTTTTAAAAATCAACATTGTCTAGAATCTCTAACACATCATCCACAATGTTTAGTATGTCATCAAAATCAAAAGAGATGAAGAAATAGAAAAATGTGGTCAATAGCCAGGAAAAAATTCATTAGGCACGGAATGTCCTAATAATTAGAATTTTCAAACAAGAATATTTTAAACTAGGATAACATCCAAGAATGTCAATAAAAATATAATTTTTTAACTAAGAAGGGGTGAGTCTCACCAGGAAAATGTAAGCTGTTAAGAACCAAATACAAATATTGGAACTGAAAGGTGCAACATTCAAAATGAAAAGTTCACTGACTAATGTTAAGTGAATGTCAAAAGATCTGTACTGAGACCAATGAAAACTATTCACTGTGAAGAAAGGTGAGATAGAGATTTTAAAATGCTGAACAGAGAATTCTGTCATTAAACAATAATATTGTGAGTCTGATATAAATGCTTGGAATACCAAAAGAACGAGAGAGAAAGAAGATAGACCAGAAAAAAAAATATTTGAAGAAATGAGAGCTGCAGAATTTCCAGACTGAGTGAAAGCATTCACTTGCATATCCAAGAAGTGCATCAAACCTTAAAGCAGAATAAATACAAAGAGAAAACACCCTGTAACACAGGAAAACTAAAGACACAATAATAAATAGATTATGAACCATGCAGTAATTTTTTAAATTAATTTTATTGATAAAGAAATAGTAGAGCTGGCGCAATAGCTCAGTAGAATAAGCACTTTCCTGGCAAGCACAAGGGCCTGAGTTAAATCCCTGGTTCCGCCAAAACAAAACAAAACAAAAAAAAGAAATAGCAATGAAGGAGCAGAGAAATAGCTCAGTAGAATAAAGGTTTGCCTGGCAAGCACAAGGTCCCAAGTTCAATCGCTGGTACCGCAAAACAAAAAAAAAAAAAAAAAAAAAAAAGACAGTTCCAAAACAGGTGAGTAGGACAGTTACAATAACATAATACATTACATATTGTTGTCTTCATAGCAGTTATTCAGAGTACAAGATGCAGACATGATATCTTGTCTAAATACTGTTAGTACAAATCTTTTCTTCTCTTTGAACTAAGAGAAAGTAGCTATATATTTCTCCTAATTTGTATATACAGGTATATATACATATATTTTTACTACAAAATGGTCCTTCATTTATATCCCCCCTTTTTGTTCCCTTTTATCAGATATTGGATTATACTGCTGAATTGACACACCTACAATATTTGAATAGCAATGGAATACCCATCTCTGCCATGCAGTAATTAATTTGGTAACTTAGGTCAGTTTTCTTGGGGAAAGTAGATATATCATAAATGCCATAATATAGAAAATCCAAATGACTGTCTTCCTATTAAATAAATGGATTTTATGATAAAAACTTTTTTTTGTAGCACAGTTTTAATAATTAACACATTGCATACATTCTTCCTAGTGGTTATTTGCTGTGTAAGATGCGGATGTGATATCCTGTTTGCAAACACTATTAGAACAAATCCCTCTATTCATTAAGAGAATGTAACTATATGTCTATCCTAACCATTTTGAATACACAGATACAAAATGGATATTCATCAGTATCCCCTTTCTTGTTCAGTTCCGTTATTTGA